AAAAAAAAATTAAAAATTAAAATTAAAAAATTGTTGCTTTATTACCGCTCCCTCGTTCATCATGGAGTGAGGAACACACAATGTGTTACAATATGAGATCATAGTTCATATGGATATATTTTAGAAGGGGTGCTACATGCTGTTAGTTACCATGGCCGCCATATTGGATTTCCAAATGGCTACCATCGAAATTGCAAATTATATTAACTGCTGCTATATCTTGGGTTGTTGATGATTGCAGACCGTAGTGCCGGTTGTTTCCACCATCTGGTGAACGTGGTAATACTATATTTAGTAGTTTGACTGCCATCAAAGTGTAACTCTCCCATGTTTTTGTATAAATGAGGCAAAATAAACGAGAATAAAACGGACATGTTGATCAAAATGGTGTAAATATAATATTGTAGCATGTAATTTATATCCATAGTTTTGCTTNTGACAAATCGGGAGATATCGGTCAGAACGGACAATGTTGTTTTTGAAATGTAAACCGCATTATCAACTACTGTGAACCGAAACATAAGGGCAATGCTTTTGAAAGCCCTCTATCGCATAGCAATGCAAACATAGCAAACAACTAGCGAGGTTTGCAAGGGATTTCGAAAAGTTAAACACGACTTGGTGTTATTTATAGGCCATGTCGAATGACAGTAATGACATGCATGTTATAAACGATATTGTTAAGAAAAAATAAAATGGATAAAAATACTAAACGTGAATTTTTTTATTTCTAATGTAAATAGTATAAATAACACCAAGTCGTGTTTAACTTTCCGAAATCATACCGGATCATACCGCCCCTACAGAAAACCAAACGACGAGCCACTCCACATCAACACGAAATCCAACGACCCACCTACCATAATTAAACAACTACCTGCAGCCATCAACCGTAGGATATCAGACATCTCGTGCAGCAAGGAAGCATTTGACAAAGCTAAGCACCCCTACGAAAAAGCTCTAAAAACAAGCGGATTTACCGAAAACCTTACATACGCCAGCCGCAACACATCTGCACCCGCAAGAAAGAACAGAAAAAGTCAGAAGAACAGCCAAAACGTCCAAATTAATATCGGAAAAACCTTCCTCAACCTCATCCAGAAGCATTTCCACAAAGAACATAAATTCAACTCTATCTTCAACAAGAACAACGTAAACGTCAGTTACAGCTTCACGGAAAATATAGCAACCATAATTAATAAGCACAACAAGAAAATAACCAGCGACAACCCCACCCCCTCCCAGAACGTATGCAACTGCCGAAAAGACGAACAATGTCCACTCGACAATAACTGCCTCTCAACCAGCCTAGTCTACAACGCACGCGTAACTACAGATGAAGACCCCACAGGAAAGAACTACATCGGACTTACAGAAGGAACATTTAAACAACGACACACTCAACACAAGCTATCATTTCGAAACAGAAAATACGCTAACAGCACCGAACTCTCAAAGCACATCTGGAAATACATAGATGACAAGAAAAATGATACAATCAACTGGTCAATCATCACTTCAGCTAGCCCATACAACAACATCTTCAAAATATGCAATCTCTGTTTAGCGGAAAAACTTTACATCACTAAAGCCGACAAAACCAGGCTCCTCAACAAAATTGAAAACTAATTTCGAAGTGCCGCCACGAGAACAAGTATTACTTAATGAACACGAAAAAACAGAAGCTGCAGAATCCTCGGCGATTTAACATCCGACCCACGTTACCTCAGATGAGCCCGTCGCCTCAACCTGCGTGCACGGGCACTGTGGCAAGATCCTCAGTCTCGACCTCAGCGAGAGACGTCACAGCCGCCGCCGCCGCTGCGGTGGTCACCGTTGCCACGGACAACGGCGTCGACAACGGCTTTCTTTCGCGTCTGATGGTGGACGACGGCCGAATCATCCCCGGACAGCGACGCGCGGTGAGCGACGACCAGCGCCGCACGTACAGCCACGACAGAGAAAGATGGCCGCAGTAACGCGTCAAGTGGTAGCTCTGCATCTCTACCATACGTCAAGAAGGGGGTGAATTGTGATGACTCATTGATGGATGTACGATATGCAAATAAGACCGAGTTGATCTTTGTATCCCAGTTACGAGCCACTCCACATCAACACGAAATCCAACGACCCACCTACCATAATTAAACAACTACCTGCAGCCATCAACCGTAGGATATCAGACATCTCGTGCAGCAAAGAAACATTTGACAAAGCTAAGCCCCCCTACGAAAAAGCTCTAAAAACAAGCGGATTTACTGAAAACCTTACATACGCCAGCCGCAACACATCTGCACCCGCAAGAAAGAACAGAAAATGGAACATAATCTGGTTTAACCCTCCATACAGCCAAAACGTCCAAACTAATATCGGCAAACCCTTCCACAACCTCATCCAGAAGCATTTCCACAAAGAACATAAATTCCACTCTATGTTCAACAAGAACAACGTAAACGTCAGTTACAGCTGCACGGAAAATATAGCAACCATAATTAACAAGAAAGTAACAAGAATTAATAAGCACAACAAGAAAATAACCAGCGACAACCCCACCCCCTCCCAGAACGTATGCAACTGCCGAAAAGAAGAACAATGTCCACTCGACAATAACTGCCTCTCAACCAGCCTAGTCTACAACGCACGCGTAACTACAGATGAAGACACCACAGGAAAGAACTACATCGGACTTACAGAGGGAACATTTAAACAACGACACACTCAACACAAGCTATCATTTCGAAACAGAAAATACGCTAACAGCACTGAACTCTCAAAGCAC